AAAAAAAGAAAAATGAAACAAAATTTTGACTTTGAAAGACAGAATTCTGAGATTCAAAGTCAGAATTCTGAGATTCAAAGTCAGAATTCTGAGATTATAACGCTGGTAGTAGCCTAAAGAGTGTTTTGATTGGTAAGATTATAGGACCAATGAGCAACAGTGTAATAACCACCCATGTTGCACACTGACTATCTATCTATAGACAGACTGTGCATGAGCTTTGTAACAGCTTAATCTCAGAATTCTGACTTTTAAACACAGAATTCTGTCTTTCAAAGTCAGAATTTTGTTTAATTTTTTTTTTATTTAGCATGGCCCCAGGGCTCTTCCGTATTTACGTTCAATTCTGAAAGTACAAAAGTTGCAACTTTAGATAAATAAGAAACATTGCATCTTCATAGGGGTTCAGCGACTGATGTTGTAAAATGTTTGTGCTAAACACAGAACCGAAGAGCAGACAAAAAAAGAAGAGGGAGGATTGTCTTAACTGCTCCGTCTACTCAGAGTGCTGAATAGTATGTAGGCAGTGCTGGGCTTTCCTAATGGAAAGCCTAGCAATCCTGGAAAAGGCATGCCACGGAAGCATTCAGTGATAAATATATAGTTGCAAAAAAGGAAGGCCCGAAGCGAAAAAATAAAATAAAAATAAGCGCAGGGCATACATGACAAGGTGTATAGGGGAGACAAGCAAAAGGGTTAACAAGGGTTCGGTCTTGGGGACATGGTCACTTACCTGATTGGACAGGTCAAAAAAGTTAGGTGGGGCTTGAACGGTGGTCTGAGTAGGAGGGACTTTTCTGCAGCAGTTGGAGAATTTCTGAGGTAAAGTGAACTTCCCTCCCGCCCGCCCAAGGAATTTTGGTGTTAGTCCGGGTGGTATGCGGTTGGGGTCTTTGGAGGCCATCAAATAATAGGTGCTGGTGGTTAAGGTTTGGGGGACCTGTCTTGGTATGGGTCCTCTATTCAGCTAATTTTGGAGTGTATGCGGTCAGTTGGTGGTTGTCCCCGAGGCGGTGTGTTGCGGCTGGGGGCCTAACAGGTTGTAGTACTGCCGCAAGTAACGGATCAAAGGTGTGGCCTTCAAAGACCTGCAACTTTTGTTATGGTAATTGTTTATATATATATAATATGTTTTATATATCATAGTTGTTAATAAAAGGCTGCCGAGGCCATTTTATACCAAGTTGGAGTGTGGTCTAGTTATTGGTACAAGGACGGGTGGTGGGTGGTCTTGGGGGCTTGTTATGGGAACGTATGGGAACATCTATGCTACCTTAGTCAAGACTTTTACAACTAAATGCATAAAATATATAATGATATTGAACATCAGTAAACTTGTAAACACACACACATCATAATATCTCTGCAACTCTGATGACTGCCCGCTGCTGAAGAGCTCTTGCCTGATGTAAGTTTGTAATTTTTTGCGCAACAGATGTTTTAAAGATTTTATGCTCTGTACATTTCTATTTGTTTTGATCGGGGGAATCATACCACACTATCATCAATACGAGAACCGTGGAGGAGATGGAGATGTGATTCTATACCAGTGTCAGACATAGGAGGGAGTGTGCTCCTATTGGAAAGGATACGCTGCGTTGCTTTCTTTGACTGCTCCATATTGGATACATCCGTGGAGTATTTTGAAAAAGGAGAAATACATCGGTGTTGGGGCTCATTCACAGGGGAATCAGCCGACACGTAGCTCCATGCTGCGTGCACGGCCGTATCGGGCAGCTCCCGGCAAGGACAGGTGCTGCGTGTGATTAGTACGCAGCCCCCGTCCTTCTCTATGGGACTACGCGGCCGTACGCCGCCCTACGCTCACCCTCCCTGCACGTCCGTGCTAGGGTTGCCACCTTTTCTTCAAGTGAAACCCGAACGATCTAGTGCCGGAATTTTCTTTTTTGGAGAATATAGAGGAGAGAGCGAGGAGAGGCAGCCAGGGGAAGGGAGTAAGGAGAGCGGCTATAGAGGACTACAAGTTCCAGCAATACATTATACAGCAATGCAAAATAAATATCAAGCCACATATGTGTTCTACCGGGGTGGCTCCCTGATGTCTCCGGGGTGTCAAGTGGCTTGTGCTGGCTCTCACCAGGGCTTTGCTGGCTCTCAGATGAGCTGTGGAGTCTCTCATGTGGACTGTGCGGGCTGTCAGGTGGGCTATGTGGTCTTTCAAGTGGCTGTGTGGGGCTCTCAGGTGGGCTATGTGGTCTTTCAAGTGACTGTGTGGGGGACTCAGGTGGGCTATTTGGGCTCTCAGATGGGCTATGTGGTCTTTCAAGTGGCTGTGTGGGGCTCTCAGGTGGGCTATTTTGGGCTCTCAGGTGGCTATGTGGGCTATGCAGACTTTCAGGAGTGCTGTGCGGTGTCTCACCAGGGGTCTGACGGTGGGCAGCGTGGTGTCAGGAAGACGTAGAAGGAGCTGCGGGCCGTCGTCTGTTTACATGCTCCTGTGGCTCACAGGAAGGCCGCCAAGGTCTCACGCTTGCTGTGGACCTCAGCAGCCTTCCTGTGAGCCGCGGGCCCGCACATCTCCTCTTCCGATTTCCTGACACCTGCCAAAAAATGTAAAGTGTCCGGGTGTCGGCTGGCCTGAAACCCAGACACAGGACTCAAAAACTGGACTGTCCGGGCGAATCCTGGACAGGTGGCAACCCTAGTCGGTGCGGGTGAACGTCCGAGCCGGGGCACCCGTATGGACTGCACTTAAGGTGAGCATTGGCGGGCGTACGGCCGCGTAGTCCCATAGAGAAGGACGGGGGGCTGCGTACTAATCACACGCAGCACGGAGCTGTACGTGCCGGCCATTTCTAGTGTGAATGAGGGCCTACGGTTGGGGAGTGTGTTCGTTTTGGCGGAGAGATGATATATTTCACTAACGGCGATTTGATGGAGCGGATCTGGTGAGTGGGGAGCATTGTTACACTACATGAAGGTGGAGCACAAGATTACACACAAGTTCTTCACCAATATATGAACTTTGTTGATTTTTTTTCAGCCTTTTTTGGGTTTATTTATTTATTATTATTATTTAGTTATTTATT